ATGAGGTATTATAATCCTGCATGTCTGTACAATATCGTGTTAGTGACTGCGAAAGCGATTTTATGCCCAGTCCAATGCGCAAGCATCTTGGATCCAGCTTAAGCAGGTAAATAATTCTTGCTGAACAATTGATGCCCTCCATAGCGACAGGAAGCGAGAGTGCTCCGAAGAGGTTGGAGATTACGATGAAAGTCGCTGTTTTATGCGGAAAGTCCAAGGTTTTGTAGCAAAATTTGCTTTAAAACTTGCTTTGCACTCTGAATGGGACATGGCTTCTTCGAGAACAGGGGCGTGAACAACCGAACTCCTTCTTGAATAGCAGCACTCTAGGCATCCGAATGCCTGGAGGGGCTGAGGCGTGCTACGCCGAAAGCTATTTTACAGCTACATGCGGAGAAAGCTGCGGCATTTTGTCCACATTTTTGCGAGCAGGTAATGTTTCACACCCCAATATTTTTCACAGCTTTGGATGTTAGTAGGCCAGCGCACTTCCTGTAATGTGAATAAGATAGTGACTGCAAGTACAACGCACGGTGCACGCACGTTGTAGCGTCGCCATTTTGTTGACATCGATTATGGACTTGCCGAAAACTTGATGAAAACTTGAAAACGAAGGTGGTGCATCCTCTCTGAAGCAGCTTGCGCAGCGCACAAACAGTGAAATCTACACTGAAAACTCATTTTGTGGAATGTGTAGGTCCTTCATAAGAGACGTAAGTATCGACATGAACACCGAGCACGATCATGCCAACGGTCCGAGGATTCTGATAGCTAGGAGACTAGACTTCTGAGCTACAGGTGCCTCTGTGGGCATCGTGATACAGGTATGTATCAGTCACTAGACCGTCTACACAAATGTGGTTTCCAGGCTTTCTGTCATGTAACAGCGGTCACAGAGAGGTGAAAGGAATAGCCCAGGTACATCAGACGAAGCACCACGTGACAGCACGTGACGCAGCTGGGAATGTCTGTGAGGAGATATGGCCTGGTCCTATCGGGGACACCCTCTTCGTCCTCACCCCAGCGATCGTGCAGGGCAGCATTGCAGCACCGGACGAGGTCACCAGGCCACAGCTATTGGCATAGCACTTCATCCTCGTACATCTCGGCCAGGGCAGGCCCGCTTCGTGCCCTACATGTTGCATCGAAGGAGCGGCCCTGCAGCCGTAACGGAGTGGAGGACGTCGCGCGGCGAGGTCAGATAGTGGTGCAGCGCGGTCAGATAGGTCAGAGGGCGACAGCGGCGCGCTCACCGTGCACCGCCCGACAAACCTTGACACGGCCTCTCTGGCGCAGACGATCGATCCCTTGACGGCTGCACCGTTTCGGGTGCGGGTGGAACGTGGCCGCTTCCCCGGAGCCGGCCACGGTCGAGCCGCAGCTCTTCGGGTGCGGGTGGAACGTGGCCGCTTCCCCGGAGCCGGCCACGGTCGAGCCGCAGCGCTTCGGGTGCGGGTGGAACGTGGCCTCTTCCCCGGAGCCGGCCACGGTCGAGGCGGTAGAGTTGGTGACCTTCTGGACTCGGTCGAGCTGTTGCTGGGTGGCGCCTCCACACACTGGCATGCAGCGAGAGCCGCAGGGGAGAACATGGCTTGAACGGTGAGGCGAAGAGCCACCGGCATGAGACGATGTTGAAACCGCTCCAGTGGAATATGGCTCGCCAACAACTTTTCTACGTCATTTCGGATGAGTGCTGCTGCTACGTTAGCACCTGGTTTGTTACAATTTTTTAAATTGTTGGATAGAATATTTGATTCTGAGATTTGAGCGCGAAGGTCGATGGGTCTCCTCTTTTCCTGTCGTGCTCACAACCGACAATCACGAAGCCAGTTTTACCGACATTTGTCTTCACATCGTAAACCACATCCCCGATACGCTGTCTACTCGCAAATGGTGTTCTGTCTTCAGGAAGTTCTGTCGGTAGGGTGAGAGTCATCTGCGCACGACATGAACCAGCAATGCAAGCAAGTTGATAAGGTCACTATCCGGCAGGCTGGATAACAATAGCCGGATGAAGAAACCCCGAGACAGTGCGAAGCCACTTGTGTGATAGTGTGACAGCCGTGTGACAGAGTGGCACCATTGAACTAATCACACCTCATCACATCACCTATCTCCCTTCGAGAAAGTAGCTTCCAAACCAGTGCGAATGGGCGTCATCTTGTCTCGTAGGCGCCGTGGTCGCCGCTGCCGAACGCCTGGGCGGATCGCCGTGATTGATCCAGGCGTCCGACGATAGGTGACCGTCACCTCTGTCTTCTGTCAGCCGTCCGACGATAGGTAACCGTCACCTCTGTCGTCTGTCAGCTGCCCCACGATAGGTAACCGTCACCTCTGTCGTCTGTCAGCTGCCCGACGATAGGTAACCGTCACCTCTGTCGCATGCCAGCCGCTTGACAACAGGTAACCGTCACCTCTGTCGCCTGCCAGCCATCCGACGACAGGTAACAGTCACCTCTGTCGTCTGTCAGCTGCCCGACGATAGGTTACCGTCACCTCTGTCGCCTGCCCGCCCGACGACACCTTCAGGCTACCCTCTGCCGAGAACGACAGCAGGCCGGTGCTCCGAGGATCGGCCAGCGCGTGGTGGCCGCAGAAGCTCGCGACTGGCCGCGTGCAGCGTTCGCTAAGGCTGAGGAGGGAAGCGATGTTGGCTGAAGGTTGGTCGAGTTCGTGAGATCGCCAGATTTAGAGCTCGGAGCTACGCAGGTAGTTTTCCAGCTTGATGGGAATGCGACGGTGGTTATTGAGCGATTGAAAACATGCGAGGGCATGAGCCGACAGCACTGGATCAGCACCGCAACGCAAAGAAAAGAGACAAAGACACCCACCATCGGGATCAACGGCGCTGCGCGCGTTAAGGTCATCGAGATGTGCGCTTATATTGGGGTGACAGTGCGGCACAATGATGCGAACGTTACACCAGAGATCGCTGCTTTCGTGTGGGACCTAAAAAACTAATAGGAAGGCCGATTATGGAATGTCACCCCGCACGCGGCCGGACGTATGACAATATCTTCTCATTAACCCCGAACGCAAACCCAGGGAGACCACCAGGCCGGGGCACTAAATCAGCGCGGCCGTCTCCCAGCGGAGTCGGCGGTCAACACCGCCATTACGCCGGCCCTCTCACGACCGCCGACGTCCCCCGAGGCACCAGACATCTGGCGCCCCAGGCGGGTCACGTGACCCGTGACGTCAGTCGTCGGCTGACGGACGGCGGCGGAGAGCGGACGCGGCGGCGGGTGAGATTCCGCATCAGGTGCGCTCGGCTGCGTCGATTGCTGTCGCGCGTGCGCGCGCGGCCAGCGTCGGGGCGCTTTGTTGGGACGCGGGGTGGGTGTGCGGGGTGCGGCTGCGACGAGGCATGACATTGCTGTCCGGGTGGGTATAACGGGGGACAGCAGAGCAGCAGATGCTTTTGTAAACAGGTGTTTTGGTGCGATAAATGTGCTTTGATTGGTGTGATCGCCAAAAATGGCTAGTAGAAGCGTGTCGTGCCCTTCGTTGGTCAGCGTTCGGAAATGTCGCTTTATGTAGGCACGTTAGAGGACCACTCCACGCCAAACCAGACCAAACCAGAACAAACCAGACCAGACCAGAACGAACCCATCAGACCACATCAGACAGTTGAAAAAGACGAGACCAGGCCAGGATTTATGCAAGCGATCTGCCCTCTCTCATGCCGTTCAATTTCCACCCAACGCTAGCGGGAATGCCAACCTCAGTGAAACAGTAAGCGTGGTACCTGAGCACGACATCAAAATACATTGGCCCCTCTCAAAACGCGACGCCACAAGGCGGATCTAACCTCAGCACCGGGCACCTTCGGCGGCCGCCGACCCCGCCTGGGCACCAGGCCGCGGCCACCGACCTCCGCCTGGGCACCAGGCCGTGGCCGCCGACCTCCGCCTGGGCACCAGGCCGCGGCCGCCGACCTCCGCCTGGGCACCAGGCCGTGGCCGCCGAACTCCGCTGGGCACCAGGCCGCGGCCGCCGCCGTCCTCGCCGGTGGTTATATCGGAGCGAGGAGCCGTTAGTTGGGAAGTCACGTGCGGCGCGCGCGCCGGCGCCGCGCCTGATTACCTCCAATTAAAGGGCGCGCCAGATCAGCTAAAATGGCGCGAAATTGGCCTGTGCTGCCGGCCGTATTACAAAGGGAGGGGCTGGTGTCGACCGCCGCTGTTGGAGGGCCCTGAATGGATGAGGAGGTGATACCGATGAGGGTGTTTGTGAAGGG